ATTACAAAAATATCGCAAAAATAGTAGAAAATAATATAAATCTTAAGTCTATTTTGTTAAATTGATTTATGTTAAAATGCTATGCCAAATTAGAAGTTTCACTATATTAGAATTATGTTATTTCATTAAAATCAATAGAAAGTAATAATTCGTAAATTAAATTATTCTATACATAATTGCTAACCCTATAGAAAGTACTCCTTCGTCAATTAAATTATTAATACATAATTGCTAACCCTAAACTTATTGGCCACACGACTTAGACACAACTTACTGTTTTTTTTAGTCCCGTAAGTAGACTCATTTATCATTTTAGTCCAGTAAATAGAGTATGTCACAAACTAGTCCAATAAATAAAACTTCTTTTGCTATTTTAGTCCTTCGGTGCCGAAGACGCCCGTGTGGCTCGTCGGAGGCTACGTGTCAGCCAGGTTAGCCACGGACATGTAGATTTTATTTTATTTTTTTCATTTTTTTTTAAAATTGATTTTAGATTTATTTTTAATTTTATTTGTCTTTTTTAATATTTTTTATTTGGTTCAATTGAAAAAAAAAATATAAAAAAATAAAATAAAATTCACGTGTTCACCAGGACAGCAAAACTTGGCGGAACACTTGGCAGACACGTGGCTTCCGGCGAGCCACACGGACGTCTCCGACACCAGAGGACTAAAACAACAAAAAATTTTCACTTATAAAACTAATTTGCGACAGACTCACTTACAAAATTAAAATGATAACGAGCTCACTTACAAAACTAAAATGATAACGAGCTCTGGTTACGGAACTTATACTCATACATTGCAGCAACGTATTATAGAGTTTAAATTAGTAATACTTGTCCATGTTGAATAATTTAAATAATAAATTGAAAATGAATGAATGTAAAGTTTTGTTTGATTTGTGTTTCAAATAAAAAAATTTAATAAATTGCTTCGGATAGAATGCTTGTTGGGGATTTGTCAGCAATATGATCATTTCCCTGATGAGCTGTCACTTCAACTTTTTACACGTATATTACATATATATATAGATACATATAGGTCTCAAAAAAAAAAAAAAAAACAAATCGAATTGAATCGTCGAATCGCTGAACTGAATTAAATTGAATCGAATTTTTGGTTAACTGAGTAAATTTAGTTCAAATACAAATACTATATATTTGATATTTGTTCGGTTCAATTTCAATTTTCTATATTTTTTTTCGGTTTGATTAACCGAATCAAATATATTTATATATTTAATCGATGATTTCGTCGTTACATGTGAGTTTTATAGTATAATTATATTTTAAAATTTATATTAATAATTATATTCGATTCGATTTCGGTTCGATTCGAATTATTTGTAAATATTGCAAATATTTTCGGCTAATTTTTTGTTCGGATATGATTTACGATTTTGAATATTTGCTCGATTTAAATATTAAATATATGCATATTTTTTGTCCACCCTGTTGTGTGTATATAGACAAACCAAAAATACTTTACTTATATAGCCTATAATTATTATAGTACTTTGTGTAGTTTACATCTGTAAACAATAAATCGAACATTAATGAATACTCTTTATATTATTGCATTTAGTTTTACTAGTACTTTCGGGTGTGTTTGTCTGGAAATTTGGATTTTGAGTTGAGATTTGAATAGTAAAAATTTTGAATTTGAATAGTTGTATGATGTGATATAAATAGATATTGATATGATATTTTGAATGTAAAATTAATTTTTAGTATAATATAAAAAATAAAAAATAGATATTTGATTTGATATTTTAAAAAAAAAAAAATAGGATAAATAGTATATTTAAAATCCAATTCCCAAACAAATACACCGCTGTGCATCGCTGCATTAATTACTAATGTCATATAATAATATTTCCATTTTTTTTAATAAAGTTTTGCAATTTATTATACATATATATGTTGGTTGATATACAATATATAAAAATTAATTATCCCTCCGTCTCAATGCAAGGTTGTCATTTGATTTTGCGTCAATGTACTTAATATTAAAAATATTGTTATATTTAATAATTTAATCTATAAATGTCGTTATATTTGTTAATTTGTATTATAAGAGGTTAAGAGACTACTAAATATATTTTTTTATTTTTTTCTTGACATGTACTACGTATTGATATAATATTTAAAAATTAATATTAAAAAATCAATGACAATCTTCACGCGGGACAAAGAGAGTAATATGTATCCCCACTAGAATAAGTTATTATATATCAGGAATGGCCATTTAACATGGAATAAGTTATTGATTTTTTTATTTGATTTATAATAATGAAGTAAATTTAATGGACGGATAAAAAAAAAAGAAAAAGTGAAACTACATTTTCCGGACAAAAAAGTATTTGTGTATTGTGTTTCTTTTAGCCTTTTCTATTCAAATTTTACTATTTTAACGTTTTGAAAAAATATAATTTTTTCACTTCTAAAATATTCAATCAAATATTACATATTATTTAAATACAAATCATAAATTAAATTTTGTCAAATCAAATCCAAAGAAATATAACATGCTAAAAATATTACCTAAAAAAGCTCAATATATAAAATATAACATATACATATAAAAATTGAAAAAAAATAAAAAACACATAAAATTTAACAAAATTACATAAAACGTCACTTTCTTAACATTTTCACTATTGCTCATGACCAAAAAAATATTTAAAATTTTAATCACTGAACAAACAAAATTAAAAAGCTTGAAAGAATACAGGATAAACACGTGGTGTTAAATTAGTGCCAAATCAAATAATTAGTACATTTCTATTACTTTTTGGTAAATTAATAAATAAAATATTGGCTATTGTTAAATAAAAAAAATACAAATAAACCACCACAAAGATTAAAGATAAAAACATATAGATATATATATATATATATCAACAACAATTCTCACGTGGAATCTGTACCTATCGTGACTATATATATATTTTTAAATAATTAATACTATAGTGTGTGTGTTTGTAGATTTGAAAAAATTTAAATATTCTCTCCATCCTGGTACAAGATTGTTGTTTACTTTTTATTTAAATATTATTATTATAATAGGTTGTAGTAAAAAAAAAAAAATACCCCTATTAGTAGTGTGTAATATAGTAGTGTGTAATATAAAGTAATGACATTTGTGTAATATAGTATAAGTTGGAAAGATATTTATTATAGTATTAGGTAGATAGTACAATCACTAAATTAAAAAACGATAATCTTGTTTTAGAACGGACGAAAATGAAAAGTAACAACTGGGACGGAGGGAGTAGTAAAATTTTAAATTAGAATAATTATATTATATAATTTTTAGTTTTTTTCTTTTCTTTTATCTTATACAACAGCTTTCAATTTATTTTATTAAAATGTTTTGATAAATACTCCCTTCGTTTCACTGAAATTGAATCATTTAATTAGGGATACGGTAAGAATGTTTAATTAGTTAATAATAATTAATTATGATATTATTTTTAATATAATTAATAATATTTATAGTTTGAAAGTAAATTTAATATATATGATTAAAAAAATCAAAATATATGTTTAAATATTTAAAAATTATATAGCAATTAAAAAATATATGTAATATGAATATCATTTTGTAGAGAATAAAATTTTCTATAATACAAGTAAATAAAAAAATATTTTTGTTTATTTATAATTAACATAAATCAATTTTATAAAATATGTGTAGTTTTAAAAATAGATAAAAATATTTATTTTTTTTGAGGGGAGAGATAAAAATAAAGGGGTTTTGAGTGAGTCCTATGTCATTTATAATGTTATATGTTATGTAATTAATTAAGTTGATTTATATTTGTTAAATATGTTTAGATTTAATAATTTTTACCAAAAATAGAAATGTGTCAATTGTTACGAGACACGTAAAAATAGAAATAGTGTCAATTGTGGTGGAACAGATGAATTATTTTTTTTAAATGTTTGTTGGAGTTTAAACATTAAAAATAAACTAAAATTTGGCTTTATTCTTTTTATATTTTTTTTAAAACATTTTTTTTAACAAATTTAAGTTAAATGGTACAAAATATACCTGTGGTTTTATGAAATTGTATTAAATATTTGTACTTCTAAAACTGCCTTAAACTGTCTCGTGGTTTCATAAACTCTGCCTCTCACCCCATCGTCGTCCTTATTTAACGGTATTTGACCTAAATGCGCTCAAACTACGAATAAATTTTAGAATTTTAATTTCTAAAACTCTAAACTTAAAAATATATTCATTTTCTTATTTTTAAATAATGTGTTTTAAAATCTCAATTTATAAACCCCTACATTGTTTTAATTCATGTACTATATTTGTGTTTGTTATATTTTTAATGTGTTGTCAATAGTAAAAAAAATATAACATATCAACATATTAACACAATATAAATATATATTATCCATTTACCAAATAATCAACAACTCAATAGAAAATATTATTTTTATATTAGCAATGCGATGTCTTATATCTAATATAAAAAATACATTCATCTAAAAATATAAAGGGAACACACATATTATTTTTGGACGGCGGCTACAGTAATGAATTTTATCTGTGTGTTGAACAATACGCAACATGCTACCAAACAATATGCAAAAATTACAATTGTCAATACATTATTGATATTAATATAATACAAATATAACATATAAACTAACAACGCATAATATAGTCTCTTTGTATCATATAAATAGTTAATTTTAGCTCATAACATATTTCAGCTATGATTTTTCCAAATTAGCAATTAAACCCTCCCCTATTATATGCAATTGAATATATAATCTTTGAGAGCCTGATTCATTTATTTTGATTTTGATATTTTGAGTTTAAATTTTTTAATAATTAATCGTTTAAATGTTAGGTTTTGTTAAAAAGAATATTTTATTTTTACAAATATATATATATAATTACCTTTATTATTATTATAAATAAAATATAAATTTCCATCCATCATTATAAATTACCGCGCTTACACTAAGCCTTCCTCCATCCTTCATCCATGGCGTCCCTGAATATCCCTCACAGTGCGACGACGGCGCCGCCCTCGGTCGGCAACAAAGCCACCGCCGGCCGCCCAATCTTCGCCAAGCCATCACATTTCATCACCCACGCCAAGCGCAGCCCCCGCCTGCAACTCTCCTGCAGCGCCGACGACGGGACCAAGGTCGACCGGCGCAACATGCTCCTCGGCCTCGGCGGTCTTTACAGCGCCGCCACCCTCGCCGCAGCCCCCGCTGCCTCCGCCAACCCCATCCAGCCCCCGGAGCTCGACAAGTGCGGCGCCGCCTTCGACCTAACCACCGGCAAGCAGCTGGACGTCAACTGTTGCCCGCCGACGTCGCAGACCGTCATCGACTACCGCCTCCCGCCGGTCCACAAAACGAAGATCCGGCGGCCGGCCCACCGGCTGACGGCGGAGCAAATCCTGAAATACAACACCGCCATTGACCGGATGAAAAACCTCCCACAAGACGACCCCCGGAGCTTCATGCAGCAGGCCAACGTCCACTGCGCCTACTGCAATGGCGCCTACGACCAGGCCGGGCAGGGGCAGCTGGACCTCCAGGTCCACAACTCCTGGACCTTCTTCCCCTTCCACCGCTGGTACCTATTTTTCTACGAAAGAATCCTCGGCCACCTGATAAACGACCCCACCTTCGCCCTCCCCTTCTGGAATTGGGACAACCCTAAAGGCATGACAATCCCCGCCATCTTCGTCGATCCTAAATCCGCCATTTACGACCCCAAGCGGAATCCGGCGAACCTCCCGCCGGCGGTCGTCGACCTCGGAATGACCCATAGTACAGACCCTCTGCAAGTCGTGTCCAATAATCTCACCGTTCTTTACACCGAGATGATCAGAGGGAACTCCGACGTCTACGATTTTATGGGACAGCCGTACCGGGAAGGCACGCCGGTGAACCCCGGCCCCGGCGCGCCGGAGCGTGGATCCCACACGGCGGTGCACGTCTGGGTCGGCGATCCGAGGGAGCCGAGCGGGGAGGATCTCGGGAACTTCTACTCCGCCGGGAGGGATCCGTTGTTCTATTGCCACCATAGCAACGTCGATCGGATGTGGTCTCTGTGGCAGAACGTTTTGCCGAGCGGAAAAATTCCCGACAAGACGATAACGGATCCTGATTTCCTTAACGCCGCCTTCGTGTTCTACGATGAGAACGCGCAGCTCGTCCGAGTCACCGTTAAAGATTGTCTGGACCACCGGCGGATGGGGTACGATTTCGAGAGGATTGACCTGCCGTGGCTGGACTACCGGCCGCCACCGCAGACGGCGGCGGCGAGGGTGCGGCGGGCAGGGAAGTCGGAGTCGGCGGCGAAGGCGCGTCACGTTTTTCCGGTGGTGCTGGACAGGATTGTTCGGGTGATGGTGCCGAAGACGAGGAAGGGGAAGGCCGACGAGGTCCTGGTGCTGGAGAACATCACTGTCGACACGACGAAGTTCTTAAAGTTCGACGTTTTCGTGAACGACGAGGACGACGACGTTGCTGAGCTGGACAAGGCGGCGTATGCCGGGACCTACGCGCAGGTGCCGCACAAGACGGCGGACCGGAAGGCGACGACGTCGATCCGGCTGAAGCTGACGGATTTGTACGACGATATGGACGTCGCCGACGACGACGAGATTCTGGTGACTTTGGTGCCCCGCCACCACGGCCCCGGCGTCACCATTGGTGGCATCAAGATCGTCGAGAATCCGCCCAAGGCCGCCAATTGATTGCAGCTGTTGCTTCGAATGTTTTCAATTTCATGTTATTGAATAAAAATAATGTATTGTGGTTTTATGATTTGGACTGTAATATATTTGAATTCTCAATAAATTTGTTTCTCCCTTTGTTATTTGATTTTCTCCGATCCTTGTATAATCTCCTTAATCAATTCCCCTAATTTCGTCAATTTAATTTTCTATTAGGAGGGTTCTGGGCTTTCAATCTAATAAATTAAAGGGAGATTCTACATTTTTTTCAATAATGTGGGATATTATGCCTCTGATACCATGTTAAGAAAGAATCGGAACTTACAACCTAAAACCACTACATATAAGTCAATTGAAAATTAGAGATGGTTCTCGATGTTTCCTTTTGGGTCATGGTCGGATTGATCAATTTGGATCGGCTTCTATTTAGCTTGAGTTAAGATTAACCGGATCTTATCTACTTATGAGAGTCCATTTATTGATAGGATCATCCGCAGATAACATTAATTAAAATCCAAAAATAATATACAATTCACTATCAACAAGGACATCACCACTACATTTGGTAATTTAGACATTACATTGCACATGTTAATTTTTCTTATTGTTGTAATAACAAGTGTGTGCCTTGCTCATTTTGTATATGATTCTAGTGGAAAGATTTAGGTTGAAATCGCTATACGTAGATCTAATTTTTAGTTGAATTGGGGGAAATAGAGTCATTATTGTGTGCCAAGCATTCGGATTAACAATTTCTTTTTTTTTACCTTGACATTTGTATTAATGGACCATCGCAAATTCACTATTGATATTATTAATCAATAATAATTTTTTAAAAAATATTATTTTTTACGTCTCGTACTCCCTCCGTCCTATATTTATATATCAATTTATTTTTTGCATAGAATTTTAAAAATATTAGTATTATATTGGGATAAAGTATAAATAAAGGTAAAAAGACTAAATTAACCCTATTAGTATGGTATGATATAACGATAATGATATTTGTGTAATATATTATGAATTGAAAGGGTATTTGTAATATTAGGTAGGTAGTACAATTACTTAAAAAAAAATAGATATTTTTTGTGAGACTGACAAAAATGGAAAAATTGATAGATTGTTAAGGACGGAGGAAAGGAAGTATTTGACATTCATATTGCTTTTTAGTACTCTTATCAATATTTATGTCTTTTTTTAAAAAAATATATAATTATATATTTTAAATTTTTTAATTTTTAATTTTTAATTTTTTTAAAATTATAATTAAATTAATTAATTATTTTTTATTAAATTAGAAAATAATAGTATGTTATCGATAAATAAAATTATATGAGAAAATTTTGACAAATATTGTTTACAAGTGTACATAAACCCGCTTGTATATACGAAGAATTTACATAAGTGTTGATGGTGTTCTGTAAAATGGAAAGTAAACGGGCAATAACTAAAATAACATTAGGGTCTATTTGTTGTGGGATTTGTTTTGAATAATAAAATTTAAATTTAAATAATTCATTCATTCATTTCGATATAAATATATAAATAAATATTGATGTTGTTTTTTACTTTTCTTCATTCCAAATATTCTTTTTATAAAAGTTAAAAAAAAAAATTTAAATACTCTCTCCGTCTCATTGAAACGTTGTCATTTTATAAAAAATAATATTAGTATTGGGTAATATATAAAAGTAATGACATTTATATAATCTACGTACAAAAAATAAACGACAACCTTACACCGGGACTGAGGGAGTATTTAATTTAAAATAATACTCCATTCGTCTCATTGAAAAAGTGATGTTTACTTTTTGCACGTAGAATTTAGAATATTAATATTATATTTGGTGTAGTAAAAAAGACAAAAATACTCCTATTAGTATTGTGTAATATAGTATTATAAGTTTAAAAACTATTTATTATGTTATATAATTAGTACAATTACTAAATTAGAACATTGTAACTTTATTTTGAGATGGACGAAAATGAAAAATGACAATCTTTCAATGGAACAGAAAAGTATATTTTATATTTTTGACATAATTCTTCATATCACACAAAAAAAAAAAAAAAAAAATCAATCGATCTAAAAACGCTGAGTAAACGGAGCCATTATTTTTTAGTATAATATATATATATAACTAATGTTTTATTTGATTCTTTTTTTAAAAAATAGTAAAATCCGAATAAAAATTTTACAAGGAAAGAAAAACACAAAAGTAAATAAAATAAAGCACAGCTAAAGTTATCCTTGAGCACATAGTATATCTTTATGCACAAAATCTTGATATAATTATATAATAAATAATATATTATTATTATTATTGTCAAGATTAGGTTTGTTCAATTGTATATTATAAATTACGAGAGTAGATGAAATTTGATCAACCAAAGATTTGTTCTCATATGGTTTTGTATAATTGAATAGATATACAAAATTTAAATAAGCTTAAATAAATGTCCATCAAATTAACTTCAAATTATGAGAAAACCCTAACAATTAGGGTGTGTTTGTTCTTGGATTTTAGTTTTTGAATTTGAATTTTTGAATAATAAAAAGTTGAATTTGAATAATTGTTTGATGTAATATAAATAAAGGTTGATACGATGTTTTGAATGTAAAAAAAAATAAAAAATTATAGTATAATATAAAAAAAATAATTATTTGATGTGATATTTCTAGTGAAAAAAAAGAGAATTGAATAGTACAAATCTATGATAGTATCCACAAAAAGAACACAACCTTAATATTTATGCGACGCATGTAAGGAGATTTTAATATTCATGAAAAATATAATACTACTTCCGTCCCGCAAAAAAAAGTGACATTTGTTTCTGTACCTATATTTTTAAATATTAGTACTATATTGGTTTACAGTATAAAAGACAAAAATGTCCCTATTAAATTGTGTGATAAAAAAATAATGATATTTGTGTAATATATTGAAAACCGTAAATGTATTAATTATGTTATGTATATAATACAATTACTAAATTAAGAAATGATATCTTTTTTTTAGATCGACGAAAATAAAAAATGGTATTTTTTTGTGGGACGGATGCATAATAAAATTATGAGCAGTTTGGAATCCACTGACAATTGGATTTGATCCACCATTAAATTATGCAGCAAAGCAAGTTGATTACCTATTTAAATTGTACTTGAAAATTGGATTAGATGAGATTTATGTAAATAAGACTTATGGCTTATGGGGCTTATGGTGTAATACATATATATATATATATATTGTAAATTTTATATTTCACTAAAATATTTAGAGATAAATAAATATACATATATATAACACCATAAGTCTTATTTAGATAAATCTCATCTAATCGAACTTTCAAATACAATTTAAATCGGTATATATTTATATATTTATAAGGAAATTTAATATATATATATATATTTAAGTATTCTAAATTTTATATTTCCGTAAAATATTTAGAGATATTAATTCATAAAAAATAAAATTTTATATAATAAAAATTAGTATAATATATAGTACTACATGATAACCGTAAATTATTTTGATTTGAAGAATTTTTTTATGTGAGATATATAAAAACAATTAATACGTTACACGCATTTTGGGTATGTTTTTAATATTTTGATTTAAATTTTATTTTTTTTACGTGAGATATATAAAAATAATTAATATATTACACACATTTTGGGTATCTTTTTAATATTTTGATTTGAAATTTTTTTTTATGTGAGATATTTAAAATGGTGTGGATAATATATATTGGAAGAATAGGTACGGCACAAAAAACTCTTTCAAACACTTATTCAAGGGTCAATTCACGAAGCGTAGTTGTATCACACTTATAATATCCTACTGTCAACCGAATGCATACAGAAATAAAAATTAGTAAATGAGACACGGTTTGTTTACTCGGTTCGGATATAAACAATCCTACATCCGGGATACCAATCTTGGAGAAACTCACTAATTAGTGTTGATTGAGAACAAAGACAACCATCACTCCTCAACTCATTCATCTACACTGGTTACCTTGGAAAAATTCCTCCACAGACTTATTGAATATTATCCCACATTGGTAAATACGTAGGAATTTTCCTACTATAGAAGGGTGAAAGACCACTCCACCTAAAATCAATTGGTTTTAGGTTGGATACTAGACTTCTTAACATGTATCAGTGCCTGTATTGGGTTTGGATCCAAATACGTGGGAGCTTTACTACTATATAAGGGTGAAAGGCCACTCCACCTACGTTTCCCCCAATCAAAATTGTGAAGTAGGAAAGTGTAGACACGACGATTGAATTTGAAAATGTGGAATGATACACGGTTAAAAAGAAAATATATGAAAACATATATGATTAGAATTTAAATTAAATTGGATAATTAAGAAAAAAATATATAAACTGAAATGAAATTTTAAATTTTAATAAATAATAATAAATAATATTTTAAAATATGAGTCAATTAGGAGCCTCGGCACCGCTAAAAGCCGCTCCTGAGCCATAAACTTGACGGGTGCAGTCAGCAATTAATATTGTGTGTCTCCGTATAAAATATGTTTTTAAGTTAACACAAAAAAATAGTCTATTTTTGCCTTGTTTGTTTCACCAACCAAAAGTGTGTAAGACAAGTAATATTGTTAATATATAGTAGCAACCAAACAACACCTGTTATTACAAATTGAAATTTGAAAGGCAACAGCAGAAAAGATGAAGTGATCATACGGCCATAAATAGATTGAGAGAACTATGTAAAGTAAAATATTGAATGTAAAATATTAATCAAATAATTATTTTAATTTGATTTTTTATAATCTTTAAAAAATAAAACATCCAAATGCAATCAAATAAATACCCAAAATTATTATTATTATAATTATTATATAATTAATAAAGAAAATTTAACTTAAAACATCAAAATACAATCAAATAAATATGGAAAATTATTGTTTTTACTATATAATTAATATAAAAAAATGCCTTATCTGAATTTATTTATTTATTTTAAAAAAAATCAAAATTCTATTTGAGGTGGGGCTATCCACCTCAAATTATATATATATATATATATGTATATATTAGTTTAGAATAAGTAGAAAGAAATCAAAGAAGAGATCAATAATGATTGATTCTTATTGATTTTTTTATTTTTTTTCTA